GATTCTGGTTTCTATTACGATGATATAATACACCGCGAATGCCTGAAGTTCTGTTTCATGGATGTCACAGAGTGAACTACACAGAGCTGCACTGGACTGGAATATTCACAGAATTCGGCCGTCTAGCAATGTGGAATCTCCCTCGGGAAAGCCAGATGTACTCTACTTCGTTCCAGCATCAATAGAGAGTCAAGATTATATGACTCCTGTTGACATGGACGAGATTGAAATCGCTAAGGATTCGTGCGCCGAGCAACCACAAGTGAGAGGATGTTGTCCTTACTTTAAAGAGCTCTGCCAACTAATCATGGAGGATGAAGGTCTAGAACCAGCAACTACAGCAGAGGAAGCTCTCCAACTCTACTTAGATTTACTGGACCACATTAATGCCATACCATAGAACAATGGTTTGATTTCATTAATGTTCACAGGCTACCCAGCATGAACAATGTTTTTGGTACACGCAAAAGCAAAGCTTGCTATGTGGCCTTTGGGTTGTGTTAGGTTCGCAAAATATTCAGTATGGTCAAATGTACATCGCAAGGTATTTATTGTTGGTCAGATCTAATGCCGCTATGTTTTTCCATATGCTGGATAACGAGCTGAGTAAGGAAAAAAATTGAAAATACTAATTACAATCAACTTTATTTCTTCTTCGTTTTCAATGTTTTCTAACTGTAAAAAGGAATGTAAACACTTGACACTAAGAAAGGATTATTTTCAGTCATAAATTACACACCTTTTTGAGAGAAATTATGTGGCCCATCATTCTCTCTCTTTATTATAGTACAATGTGTTGCAAAGAGATCATCTGGCCTGGTAATTCGAAATCTGTGAACTCAACAAGGTAGAACAACAACATAAAGAGCAGGTAACGAGCAATTTTCCATTCCGTTTTAAAAGTGCTACGTTAACATAACCTATTGGAGTAGACATGAATGACATGTAAAACAGGAAAGGAATAATTAATTCCCTATTGTGATGTGCAGCACTATCCTTATTACTCCGACGAGTGTACCAGCACCACTCGAGATATGAGTCAATAACGTTTTCTACAGCTATTGCATGAAATATGATCACAAGGATCATTCAAGTCTTAACCAACAACGTGCAATTAAAAAGTGAAAAGGCTTAAGAGGAACAAACAGTACCAGTAATAAAAAGTCACTTCAACATTTTTAAGTTAATCATTGTTAAGCTGAATCTCTGTATACTCTGAATCACTGTTACATTGAATTTGCTTACATTCAAGCTGCTTACAACGATGTGAATTTCCATGCAAGTTCATTGTTTAGTAGAGAATCCATTTGAAATCTAAAGTCGTTAAAACTTGCATACCCACCATCAGGCAAGTCAATTGAAGCTGCACAGGTATGTGTACGAGGGTGTGGTAAGGATCCTAACTCGTTAACATGAAACATCACCTTGATACACTCTACAACTGGTACAGGACTACCAGTGACCTAATGAAGAAATCGGCCAAGCTCCTTACGGCTGAGGCACCTTATGTATTTCTTCAGGTAAGAGAAAATTTTGGCCTTGGACTTGTTTAGATGGGTAGATGGCTCTTCTGCAAGCACTGCAATAACTCGTTTTGGCGTGAGCTGCATCATGTGATACATCTTTGTTACATCCTCTTTCGAACAATTCCACAAATTTTCAGTCTCTATCCCGAAGACCTTCTCTCATACCATCCATCGCCATAGCAGGTTTTGATAACAACTCATTCTTGGCTACGTGCACCAAAGTGGCTTTGAGGTTGGAAGCCAGTGGCCTTCTGGTAACCTGGTAATCACTGAAAAAATCCAGCAAAAACTCACAAAATTCACCAGAGAGCTCTCCTTGGTCTGACTATGCTAGGATTGCTTTCAACTCCTGGGATTTATTTTCTGATATGTATTCCAGGAAAGCCTCTATGAGGTCTTCATCACTGACTGCCTGTCGCCCACAGAGCGTAGCCACCATAAATGCCCTGTTGATATGAACAGGGAATATGCCAGTGAGGACATATTGGTGGCTGATAATGCGTCCAAGTGTCCTCATCATGGACTCCTCAATTTCTGGACTTACTCGCAGAACAAATGTAGAACTTCCTTCGAAGTAGTCTTCCAGGGCTGGCTTCCAGAATAGAGAATAAGCTTCTCTCTTTAGCCCATCTACATCCATCCCAACCTCTCCGTGGAAAGAAAAGGTGACAAGCTGCTGGGTTATTTCTCTTGAGTTTTCGTAAGTTTTAAGAAGGTCACGCATGACAGTCTCTCGATGAACCCAAACGTTTGTTACACCAGACAACTTATCAAGCACATCCATTCTTCTCTGCTTTAAGTCCTAAATAAACATAAATAGACATAACTTGCTACTACCTGCTGTTACCTGTTAATCTCTCTTTCTTTGAAGAGGCGTTCAAGAAGACAGTGGCCTTCAATTGGTATATTTGGTAAGGTACAATAATTACTGTCAATAAATGTTTTCAGGTAACTAAACTAGCAGAAAAGGTGCATCTTACCTCCTCCCATAAGTAATGCTGAGAGTTTGAGAGGAGTGCTAAGATTACAGAAGGAGAGGGGAGGATATACAAATTTGCTGCCTTAAGGAAAATTTCCTTAAAACAGTTTTGTAGGATTGAAGTACATCTCATCTGTTTTATCAATCTCGTGGTTTTTGCGGTATCAACAAGTGGGTCGACAGTAATTGGACTGACACAGATACGTTATACACACAACCTACCCCCTCTTCATTCCTTTCCTCTTTCGTCATGTTGTCAGCTATGTAAAAACTGTTTACAACTTCCCTGAATTGTCGTCCAGCTGAATCAATAGAACTTCATTCAACTGCCACTGGATTATCCTCAGAACTTCCTGATGGAGTGTCCTTCCTATATTTACAAGTCAGAAAAACCTATTAGCTTTGAATGCACTTCAAGTGTTTTACTTGTTAGAAAAGAAGCACATATGGTAGTTTTGGGTCCACAATATCTGAATAATAAGGAATGTTGGTGCACAATGAGTAGCCCATGTTCAATATATCAAAATTCAAACATGACTCTGGCTTTCTGGACAAAACATACTTTCTCTCGTGATTCCAAGATGGGACTTCAGAACCAAGAAAGCCAAATGAAACCAAATATAGAATGAAGTTTGCCCATAAATCCTCAGTCCTATTTAGAATTTTGTTATATCAAATGTGGCCTATAAAAGATTCTATAATCAGACG